AGGGAGGAACAACCCAGCTCTCTCCTAAGAAGCCATCCCTCAGCCTTGCTCATCCTGGCTGCCCATCTCTGAACATTGTCCAGTTGCATCATGTTGTTTGTACGTTGTTTTATATTCAAGCTAGGATCTTTTCTACTCTCTTTTCTTGCTACGTTTTCCATTACCAGTCTTCAAATGTAATAGCCAGTTAAGTGTGCCCGGCACTGAAAATGGCAAATAAAATGTTAATTCCCTTCTACTCTGCTTCTCTTTTCCTACCCCTTCATTGAAAGTATTAAACTTAGGAACCTATCTAGTATGTTATTAATAAAATGTGTTTTTTTTTTTCTTTTTTTTTTCTTCTCTTTTATTTTTTTTTTGTTTTAATCTTTTTAAATATATTTTTTTTAACTATTAAGTTCAAAACCGAACAAACTCATGTGGAAGTTTTCCTACTTCCTTGATTACCCTGTAGAAGAATGGTGCCTGCAAATCTGCTGTGATCCACTTCTGGAGACTGCCTGATTGCAATGTGAGTCAGGAGTGGACCATTTTGGCTTTGCAGACCCCCTTGCATCCCCAGTAATTTATTTATTTATTTTTTTCCTTTTAGACAATCACACGGCTTCTGAGTTTAGCTCCAGGTGTGTTTTTCTCATATCCTCGTAACTTTTGAGTCTGAGCAGGTTCCTGCACAACACCCTCCTGGGTCCTACCTTCTGGTTGGGAGCGAATTGTTGCTTGCTACTGGAAGTGGTTGGACTCCAGCTCCTTTCAGCCCCACTAGTCATTGTTGGTCTTCAGCTGTTGCATCTTAAAACATGTTTTCATACATCTTTAACCATTTAGTACTCTGAGGACACAGAATAGTTGAAGGTCCTTCTGTGGATTTTGCAAGAAATCGTGAGACCACTCTTCTCTTGCAGTAACACAATCAATGGACAGATTAACACACAGGATTAAAATACGTGGATGCTTTTCTCCTGCCATTGTTCCTCTGTTATAGCGACCTCTTTTTCTGCTTCTCATGGCTATAAACGTCTCTCTCAGTTGCTCCCTCAGCTAAAAAGAGCCCAACTGTTCTGATGGCATGCCTTCTTCCCCCAGTGCTGCCCAACCTTCATTTGTCCAAGGGGTGTTCGTGACTTCCTAAGACCCTGGAGTAGCATTTAGTTTCCTAGACCTACATCTGGCATAAGTACATGCTTTCAAACCTTGTCCATTCCCACACTAGAGACCAGATTATGGTTATGATGATTAATTCTGGTCTGGTTTATTTTCTTCTTTTTTTTAAAAAAATTATTCTTTCCATTTTATTTTCTAATATATACGTGATTTATGTGGCATGAATCATAGACTTTAAACTAGATTAAGTGAGATTATTCAAGTCTCCTTCAGGAACTGAGAAAGTAACAAAATAGCTTACTGTTGAAGAAGAACCAAATTGATGAGGGACAAATTTCTGAAGTCTGGATGGGTCCTGGCCAACCAGAGCTAATGTGTGGCACCACTGCCTGTGGCAGGGGTGTTAGAGTTAGATGATCTTTAAAGTCCCTTCTAACCTGAGCCATTCTGTGATTCTAAAGGACCTGTAATTTCAAGAGGAACAGAGAATCAGACCATGACAACTTGGACAACTCTCAGCAGAGAAAACTTGCTGGCATTACTGTTGGCATTTGCCAAGCAATATGATGGGAGATGCTACATTTGCCTTTACTTCTACAGTGACTCCAATAGCATTCAAATTTGTGGCTATCCCTTTTCATGGGTATCATGACTGAATTTGTGCGGGAGCTCTGCTACTCGTGGGAAAGCTTCAGAAGTTCATAATAAAATATTTTTGCATTTATGTGCTGTTACAGCCTTTTTCTGAGTGGACCAAGGCACAAGAGTGGATTGGACTTGGAAAGAAACTGCCTTTCATCTTGAGATTTGGCCAGAGAAGCCAATGAGAATTTGACCAGCCTAGCTTTTCTCAGTGGTCAAGATTTGTAAATAGGGTATAGATAATCTGCACTGGTTGTTTGGGAACTTTCTTCTTGGTGTGGAAGCAAATTATCATGTTTCTCCGCTTAATTGTCTCCACGATTCCTTGCAGCTTTGATGAATCAGAGCTGTGGATAATCCACAGAAAAGTTAATGTCTTTATTTAGTGCTAACCCTTGTTTATTAGAGATGAGTCCTGCTCAGCAGAGAGGGGAACAAAACCTCCATTTAGACTCTCCTCTCTTCAGCCTGTGAAGCATCCCAAATTGGAGGGCCTGTCACTACTGTCTCTCCGTGTTTTCTCATGCCTTGGCACACGCCTGCTCTGCAGATGGAGATGACACATTCCTACCACTACTTTGCTCAGGTACAAGAAGCAACAGAGGTGATGCACAGGTGTCGAGGGATCTGTTTTTGCTTGCTCACCCTTTGTTTTTAAGTTGAATGCTTTGTTTAAAACCACTTTATGCTGTTGTAGGGGGTAGATCCTGCTTCTCACCCTCTGTGCTGACATTGCCACGTAGTGATTGGACTGCATCATTTTGCTTTCTTTTCTCCTGCTTCATTGCCTATCTCAGCTTAGCTTTTTTCTCCCCGCAATGTTCCTTCTCCCAGGTAGCCCCCATGTACCTCTGGGGGTGGAAGTGTAGGGAAAAGGCAGCCAGTGGTCTGTGCTGCATGGGTACAGCCCATGCCAGAGGCATTCATCTGGTACCTCCTGCCTTGGTCAGCAATGCTCACAGATGTCTCCAGCTTGCCTGACTCTGGACCTCGGTGAACTCTTTCTACACCCTGGTGGATGTCCCTGACACAGGCAGGCCTGGGTTGGGGTGTTTTTGAGGTGACCTCTCCCCAGTCCCCAAGAGAATCTGTCCCCCTGCACACTTATACTCCCCAGGCACCCCCAGCAGCTCATCTCAGCCTAGGGCAGGAGTCACTGCACATCGGTCACCCCCTCCTGCAGCCTTTTGGAAACTGTTTGGAGGGCTGCAGCCCTTCCTTGGCTCTCTTCCCAGCACACACGAGTCTGCACGGCACCTCTCTCTTCACCCCATGGGGGAGGCATCCTGCAGCCCTATTCTGGGATGGTCATGTTTTGGCATGTGACAGGGGGATGAATGGGACTTTCTGTTCTGCTGGAGACAAAGGGCGGCTCCAGCCCCCTTTGGAGACCCCCAGGAAAATAGCAATCTTCTTGTACAGTCAACTGCTGTCCCTGAAACATAATTCAGGGCTGATGTTAAGGGTCACTTGAACGATCAGAGTGAAGAAACTACTTCCGAACCATTCAGCATCGTGCAGGCAAACAACAGCTTCATGTCTGGCACAAACTGCCCTTCCATTTTAAAAACAACACATCAAGTATAATTAATTTTGCTTTCTGCTACTGTTGTCCTTAACTTGTTCCTGTGCATTCAGCACTGAAGGTGGCTTGGCAAAGCTGGCTAGTCCCATGCATGGCAAGCTCAGGGGAACCATGGCTCAGAAATACACCGAGTCCTTGCTGACATGTTAGAAGGGATGAAGGCAGATACTTTGTCTTCTCTCTACCTTTAAGCCTGGATGACTGATGTGCAGCCTGGAGCTAAGGTTTCATTTGGAAATCAGATGCACTGTCAAGTCCTTGAGAGAGCATCTGGATGAGACCTTGCTGAAGACCATCATCTGCCCATCAGTGTCTCCTGCTGATGCTTCAGCCATCATCATTGAGAAGAAAGATGGGTCTGTGGTGAAATGAAATACCACGGTTTAATCACGCCACAAGAAAGAACATGGAGCTTTCGCTTTTAACTTAGTGAGTTGCTGGAAGGATGCACTGTAAAAATGGATTTCTGCAACTAAACTTCTGTGGTTTCTCCAGTTTGTTTTTTATGCAAGAAGCTACACTGTGGAAAAACCACATTTTTACCCTGAATGTAGCTTTCTCAAGCACCTGATTCATCCTTTTGATTTGTCCAGTGCTCATCCTCTTGCATCCCTTAGTTCCTCTTATCATAGGCTTTGGATCAGTGGTGGCCATCTACCTTGACAGCCTTTGCTCTTTCCTATAACCTGACCTATTCCTGTCCTTGTGGTACTCGTATATCAAAATATTTGACATTTACAATAGGAAGGGCTAATAGGTAAAACCTAAAAAGCATGAATTTCTTACATCATAGAAAAGGTCTTGTGAATAAGCATAACTAAAAGTGTCCTACTGTGATGGAAGAGGTCAATCCAAGATTAAATGAATGGCAATCAAGTTTCAGGCTGCTTGTGCCCTCTGGGACCATCTCTGACCGGTAACTTGAGGTCCAGCATTCCCAGTTTGAGATACTCATGGGAGCAGTTCTCCAGAGCTCTGAGCTCAGCTGGAGTTTGCTGCCAGCCTTTGGCCTGCAGCCTCCTGCTTGTCTCAGAGTCAGGCATCTCAATGCACAGCTTTGCCTGGGAGCTAACTTTGAATGTTTTAAAGCTGCTAAACCAAGGAAAACCCCAATCCCATTGTGCTGTGCTAGAACAAGAAATCCCCTTACTGGTAAGATCAGCTGTTGTCTAGAGAGAGGCACAGATTAGGATGTCCCTCCTTCCTTAGCTTCGGAAATGAGGATATATGTTGATGGTTTCTAGTCAAAGCCACTGGAACTGCAGTCCTTAAGGTGCTGGTAAATAAAAATAATCACTTCCACTCTGAACCGGAATCACTGAATTTAGCCTGCGGGTAATTAAGTTTGGAACTGTCCCCTGAAGAGTCAATTGTGCTCTTTTTTTATACTTTTTTTTTTTTCTTTGTGCTTCTGTGTGTTTGTGCGATGTATGTCACACAGATCATATGGATATGGTCATGGAGCTGAGGAACATCTGGACACACAGACACCCATGTCCATCCTGCCAAGCAAAAGCAGCTCTGTACCCTGATGTGCATTCAGGCCTGGGCTGGAGGTGATTGAGGGCACTAATTGGCCTTAATGGCCCTGAGCAGCCTCACCTGAGACCTCTCCACCCACAGCCCTGGCCCAGAAGCCCTATTTCAGCCCAGCTATAAGAGGGCTCCTCTCTGCTGCACTCCTGTTTGTGGGTTGATTTGACTTCAGGGCTTGCCTTGTTACCCAGTGATCTGGGCTGTTGGTTGGGGCTAGCTCCTGCTTGACAAGCAACAGCTGATGATGCTCTGCCATGGGGTATCCCTTTGGTTCTATGGTTTTTGGGGAGCAGCTGGCCACTGTGGTGCCATATGGGATGGTGCCCTGTGGCCTGCCTGCATGAGCAATGATGGGGAGGTGGGCACTGTGTGTATAGGAAAAGCCTGTCTCAATGGGGAGAAACTGCATTAAAGTTGGTTCTCCTCAATCTCTCCTTAAGGAAGCAAGAGGAATCTGCCCCAAGGGCCATCTTTTCATCTGCTCCTTCATTTTGTCTTGTCTTCCCCTTCCTTCTCCTCCCTGCCTGTCACAGTGCCATGGCTGTCTCCTCATCCACTCCCACGGATCCTGCCCTTCCTCTCCTCTCTGTCCTGTCCTCATCTTCCCCTATGCTCCGCTCCAAAACAAATATGATGAAGAGTTATCTTGCCACTAGGAAGCAATATAATTCAGTCAATATCATTTTAAGACTGCTTGCAATTAGCCGGGGGAATAGCTATTTGCTTTTTCCCTTGTCCAAGCTGGTATCTTCTGGAGTGTGAGTCTGCTTTATCCCAAATTCCAGCAGTGTGCTGTAGGAAGCAATGTGCAGTAGTTCTGGGATGCCTGGGAGGACAGGGCACACCTGCAGGTGTCATCAGGTGCGCGCTGATCTCCTTGGGGACTTGCACAGCAAAGCTCAGAGACAGGCAGGAATTCAAAGAGGTGAAATGTTAAGGAGAGGAGCCTGCTGCGGACCTGCAGGAACAAATCCTTTAGGGGTATGCTTCCCTAGGGATGTGAAAGGCAAATCTTCCTGCCTTTGTGGGGTCTGTTCTCATTTGATTTACAAGTTTGGTGTGGTTTTGTTCAGTGATGCTCCAGGAAGGTTTGGGTTTAGTTCTGGGGCTCTAGGAATGCTGATGTCAAGAGCTCAGAAACCTGTCAGCAAACCAATGTTTCCACTAGAGGAAGAACAACGTGCCTTTGTTTCTAGTTCTCTCTAGATTTTGCCACCAGCTTTCCTTTTTACTCTTTTACTTTTCTTTGGGAGCTCTGTAGTCCTGCTCTGGCATCTTTCCAGGGGTGCTTTTCTGCTGCAAACATTTTCATTTGTGTTGGGCACTCTGGTGCTGCTACATTCTGATGTTTGTCTTATTCTTTACCCTCTCCAGGCTGATGTGCTCCAGCTTTAACCCCTGGTGCAACTGCTGTAACGATGGACAGTAAAGAGCAAACGATGGTGATAAGACCTTTCTTACCCTCTGCTCTCTTCCTTTCTTCTGAAGAGCCCAAAGAGATGTCCCATTGGCTTGGGAAAGCCTTGAAGCAGTGGGATGGCAAGCCCCAGCTCCCCAGACCTTAGTCCGTGGTCCCCACAACTGGCCTGCATCAGCTCAAGAACCACAGGTAGCCTTGTGTGGGCCCCACACAACACAACCACCACCAGCAGCACCATGGCTGGACCCCACCAAATGTTTTCGGTGTGTTCCCTTGCAAAGGGTTGGAAAATAGTAATTCTGTGAGTGTGCCTGCAGCCACATCCCTTTCCACCAGTCAGGATGGGTGTGGGGCGGAATGGGCTCGCTTAAAGCACATGGGGTGCTCCTCCTCTTCCTTCCTGTTGGAGGAGGGGATGTATCAAAAAGCATCTCCGTGCCGCAAAGCCAGACCTCCGCTGTTCCCACGAGCCTGCGCTGACCCTGCACTTGATGTTTTTTTATGCTTGCAATGCTCTTATCAGCTGGGGCCAAGCAAAGTCAAGCTGGCTGCGGATGACAGAGGGTTTGCAGCTCTGACTTCTGAGCCTCAGGGAGTTCCATGACAGTAGCCACAAGTAGAAAGGGACGCTTGCCAGCTTCTCCTCTTTGAAGGTTGTCCATCAGGTCCTAGCCTCAGGGCTGGGGGAGCACGTCTGTGACTTCCTGCTTGACACTGGATAAATTAGGACAAGCCTCTCGTCTCCTTCAGATGCCTTAAAGCAAGGCACTGATTAGAAGCTGTCAGGGTTCAGGATAACTCTGTATTCCTCATGGGTGGAGGAAACCTTTAAGGAAGTCATAGAAACCTGTGGCCATCTCTGTACTCCTCAGATACTGCTGAAACCAGCGTGATGGGAGGATGTTGATCCCAACCTGGGTGGAGAGGGGACCTGCTTCTCCAGGCACGCCACAAATTCTGGATACTGCAGAGACAGGAAGCATCTGCCAGGTGTTAGGCTGGTGTTCCAGCCACCTCTGCGTTGCCAGTGAGATGTAAAGGGCTGAGAAGCATGTTGACCTTCAGCTCCACAGGGAGGGAGATGCTAAAGCTCCAGTTGTTCTCAGGAAACTGAGAACAGTGTCCTCTGTGTTGCATCTAGTAGGGATTTTCTGCCAGAGCCTTTTCAAGTTTTGGGTTAATTTGGATATTCACCCATCTTGAAGCCTGGGTCAAGAGTTTGGTGTTGCATTTCCTGTGGCACGCCTGTCTCCGTGCTTACTTCTGTATTGATTTTCTCTAGAAAACAAAACAAAACAAAAAAAAAAATGGCAAGTGAGTGAGGCCTACTTGAGGCTTGGTGTTTCAAGAATCTCTTCTCTAAACCATCTCTGGCTGATGTTAGGATTGGATGGATGACAGATGGTAACCAACCAGACCAAAAAAAAAAAAATAAAAAAATGATAATGGTTTCACATCAACAGAAGTAAATGAGTGTTTTGGTTTTTCTTTTTCCTGGAAAGTGGAGGTAAAGCTCATTTTGGATGTGATAGGCATAAAGAATGTTTTTAAGTCCTGAAACAGTCTCTTTATGTGTTCAGAAAGCAGCCCATGGCATCCTCTTCTCTGGGTCCCCCCAAAGCTTTGTTCCTCTCCTGGGTTTGGCTTTGGGGTGAGTAGAGCTGAGGAAACCGAAAAGCTCTCCAAAAGATGAATGTAGCACGTTTTGGCGGTGTTGGGGAGGAGAAAGTGGTTGTGTATGGATGGAGAGGAGCATTTGGGGTTCTTGTAGTGAAACAGTTCAAATGAGTGAGTGCAGATCCCTTTAGGATCTGAAGGGTGGGCTGCTGCTGCTGAATTGTGAGATGACAATGGTCTCCCCAAGTGCTGTTGCTGCCCTGTCTGAGGAACACTTCCTCTTCACAGAGCTCCCAGGATGAAAGATCCTCCCTGTCCTGGGTAAACGTGGAACTGCTCCCGTAGCAATTCATAGTTGGTCTTTAACTGATTTGAGAGTTTGGAAATGAGGCGACATGGGTACCATTTGAGTTTCAGCTTCTGAACTCTTCCAGACTAGCCAGGTGTGCTGCTGGGACATGTGCAATGCATGTGGAAATCCTTATTTTTGTTTATTTTTCATTCAAATTTTAAATGTCATGAGGTGTATTTTTTCTGAGCTCTTTTGGGAAGGTCTCAATGAACCTGCATTGGAAACAGCCGATAACCATGATTAAAGGTAGGGCTGCATTGTAAATGCTATACTCATTCCTTTCTATCAGTTCATTGGCTGAATTCTCAATATTCAATTTAAAATTGACCATATCATAGAGCTGAGCAAATTCTCCTGCTTTGTGTAATTGCTCATCACAGAATGGGTGGGGTTGGAAGGGACCTCTGAAGATCATCTGGTCCGACCCCCTCTCAGGGCAGGATCACCTACAGCACCTTGCACAGGATGGCATCCAGGCGGGTTATGAATATTTCTGGAGAAGGAGACCGTACATACTCTCTGGGCAACTTGTTGTGGTCCTCTGGCACCCTCCCAGTAAAGAAGTGTCCCCTCATATTGAGCTGGAACCTCCTCTGCTTCAGTTTGTGCCCGTTGCCTCTCGTCCTGTCACTGGGCACAACTGAAAAGAGACCAGCTCCATCCTCTTGACACCCTCCCCTCAGGTATTTATTTGCTGAGGGTGCACTCCATTCCATCGTCCAGGGCATTGATGGATAAGGTGAACAACACTGGGCCCAGTACAGACCCCTGGGGGACACCACTAGCTACGGGCCTCCAACTACACACCACACCACCGAGCACAACCCTCTGAGCTCTGCCATCCAGCCAATTGCCAATCCACCTCACTGCTCATCAAGGCTGTACTTCCTGAGCTTGTCTACGAGGATGTTAGCGGAGACAGTGTGAAAAGCCTTGCTGAAGTCAAGGTAGACCACATCTACCATTCTCCCCTCATCTACCCAACTAGTCATATCGTCATAGAAGGATATCAGATTGGTTAAACATGATTTCTCCTTGGGGAATCCATGGTGACTATTCATGATCACCTTCTTATCCTCTACATGCTTGGAGATGACCTCCAGGATGAGCTGCTCTATCACCTTTCCAGGGATGGAGGTGAAGCTGACTGACCTGTAGTTGCATGGGACCTCCTTCTTTTGAAGACTGGAATGATATAGGCTTTCTCCCAGTCCTCAGGAGCCTCTCCCATTCTCCACAACCTTTCAAAGATAATGGAAAGTGGTCTAGCAATAACATCACCCAGCTCCCTCAGCACCCATGGGTGCATTCCACCAGGGCCCATGGATTTGTGGATGTCAAGTTTGCTTTGTTGATCTCTGACCCGGTCCTCTTTGACCAAGGGAAATTCCTCCTTTCTCCAGGCTTCTTGTCCTGTCTGTGTAGTCTGTAAATAACTTGTTTCTTTATGTGGTACTTCTGTTAATTAGATAGAAAATGAAAGTGGATTTGAATTTATTTGCTTGAATGCCGCTGTTGTCATATTTTTGGAAATCTGATGCTGGAATGCTGGAAACCTGTGCAGGATGTGACTATTTTGACTTCTGGAACAGTTTTCATAGAGTATACAAAGTCAGTTAAAGTAAATCCTAGTACTGACAGTACAGATGCTAGATAGACCCAGCCATTTTGTGTAAAGCCCTCAAAGGGATCACCAGATCCAGCTGGTTACCTGGTGCACATCTTGATGATTTGGCAGGACAGTGCTAGCAGAAGAGCTGCAGCACACAGAAACTCAGTTGTAACCTTTTGGATTAGTTCCCAGTATCTTACCTTCCTTCCCCCAGCATTGCTTAACAAGCTTCTGAGAAAAGTTTGGAGATATGGGTTATTGCCCCTGAAATAACTGCAGTTAATTATACGAAGATTAATGACCTGTTCTCCAAGAGCTATCAGCACAGCCTTCATCTTCCTTGAGTGCTGATGACCTTTCCAGGAACTGGGAATGAGGAACTGCAGTGGGAGATGGATTGGGTAAACAATACGTAAGTTAGACTCGTTTAATTTGGGGGGAGGACAAGACTGATGTGACTCCCTGCATTCAGCCCATACCACCCGCCTCGCTGCAGCTTGCAGACAAACAGCGTGTGTTGGCTGCTTACCAGTGATAAAGCTGGAAAGGGTAAAGTGCAAAAAGCCTTGTAGCCAGCAGGAAGATGTATTGGGACTAGCAGAAGGCAGAGGAAAACAAGTTTGTGTCACCTCCCTTTAATATCTAATGGAGGTTATTTTCTTCCTATAGCCAGAGCTTTGGCTATCACTGGCAAAAGCAAATTGAAAACTGACGATGTGGCAAGGACCTTGAGGCCTTCTTCACTTTTGGGCTTTGCCCCCAAAAGACTGATTGTAACCAGCTCCATCATGCAATGAATCTTGCACCCAGCAGCAATGTGCTCTTGAGTGAGCTGCAATAGCTGCCAGCCACCCCCCTGATAACAAGCCACCCCACAGACCCCACACAGCCAGCTGGATGCTTATGCAGGAGGTAAGGGGGTTTGTTGGTTCCTATGTCCCAAGCAGGGTGTACCCGAGGCAGTACTGTGTTTCATAGGTGCTCAGCCATTTTCTGAAGACAAGGGTTGACTGATAACGGCTAACAACTTGGTGACCAGATCAGGGATGAACCTTGAGGTTAGGGTAGATGGTGTCTAATATGGCACTGGCCCATTCCAGAGCGTGCTGGCTTTGCACTTGCCCTTTGAAACCCAAGCTGGAAGGAAATCAAGCTCATCAGTGCCATCAAAGATGTTCTCTGCCCCACCATCAGAAGAAGACACAACTCTTTTATTGAGGTGTCTTCAGCATGTGGCAGCTCTGGCAGGGATGTGAGGGAGGCTGTGTGATGCTGCCTGAGTTTATTGCTCTGCTCCTGGTAGAGCTGTCCTGGAGTGCCAGGTGGATCAGGGATGGAAAAGGCACTTAGGAGCCTTGTGAGGGAATTGTGCTATTGCAATTCTCTAGCTGCCTGTGGGAGCCTTGCAGGTAGGCAGCCCCACACCATGCTGTGTGATGGTTGTCTCTGGGCTGGGCATGAGGTGCTTGAATTTGGTGTCCCCAGACTGACTGAGAAAGCAGAGCTGGCACAAACCCTCTTGCCCCCGTGAGTAATGGCTTGCTGCCACAAGGTCTTCCTGAAAGAGGTGGAAAAAGCATTTAGAAGACGTGCAAAACTGGCTTTATAAATTGACTGTCAGTTAAAAATCCATTTCTCCATTAAAGCAAAGATCCCATTTAAATGCTTTGTAACAGCCCCAAGGTCCTCTTCAGGCTGATAGCAGACTCGAGGTCTTTCGTTCTGTTCCTGAACTTCTTGCCGGGAGCCTGACAGCTACCCGAAATGTCTCGCATGGATTTATAGCTGATGTGAAGGTGACCCGTGCAGGAGGGGGTGTGCTGAGAGAGGCAACGTGAAATTTGCCCCCAACGTCAAGGGTGAGTCAAGTGACACGGGCATATGAAGGAGCTCACAGAGGGTTTTCATCCTGCTGGAGCAGAGCTGAAGAAGCGTTAATGGGAAGGGGAAAAAAAAAAATAAATCAAAAAAAGGAGCTGCCTTGTAAATCAAGGATGGCCTGGAGACAAAACCCAGTCACACATGTTAGGACTGACTAGTTTCATGTGAGGCTTCTCAATAGGTGCCTCTGTGTGGAGCAGACACTGGGTCTCTGTGGAGGGCTGCATGTCCCGGGAGGACTGCTGGATCACAAGCAGTGCGTGTGACTGCAGACTGCTCCCCAGCGTGGGGCCCCACCATGGCCTGTCCAGTTTGGTGGTGGAACTGGAGACATCCTGGCTCAGGAAGCCTCTCCCTGCCCCATTAGCTCCCGTAAGAAAGAGGGTTAGAGAAGGGAAGGTCATTTTTTTTTTTTTTTTGGTGATGGGAAGGCTCTTCTCGTGGGTGCTTCTTGCTCGTCGCCCACAGATCCCCCCTTGGATTTGAGGCAGGAAGCAGCAGGTCATCAGTAACTGACCTGTCATGCTGCTTAACACGTGGAGATGGGAGGTGCTGAGATGTCTCCACCTTCTGATGCACCTTTTGTGGGCCCCGAAAACACTCGTTTGGAAACAGGTGAGAGCCATGTGTGCTCTGAGAACCCCTGTAAGGGAAGGACCTGGTCCAGAGAGCTGGGATACCTTGGGATGAGAGAAGGAAAGAGCACCAATAATGCCACAGAGCAGAAAATGTGAAGGTCAAGAGGCAAAAGCGTGTCCTGACACCATAATAAACAGCTCTAAAAGAAAACATTTTCCTCTGTGCTGAGTCAGGAACTTTGTAAGGAAAGAGCCTGGCCCCATTCAGCCTCCGAACGCCTCACCGTAAACCACAGCCAGTCTTCCCTCTTCTTCCTCACCTGTAAGACATCTGATGCAACAGGGAATCCCAGAGAGCATCCAGTCCCTCTCCTTCCCTACCTAACCCGCTG